GTTGATACTATTTTGCGCTGTGCCAGGTCCGTTCTAAAAATATTTTGTAGAAAATAATATATTTCCTTAAAGTTGTTATGCGATAATAAAACGTTAATTGACTAAAAATTTTTATTTAATCCTCATTCTTAATTCTCTAACTCCTTTTTTAGCAGGTACTTCTCTTTTGTTTCTTCTATAGCCCAGGAAATGAGTGCTTTTTTGACAGTAACTACTATTTAACAATAATTATTGTTTTATATTTTATATAGATAGAATAACAAAAACTATGCAAATTTATTCTATATTCATTTATATATTTTTTCATATATTTTTGATTAACCATGCTCTACAAACATTCACGGTGCTCTACCCAATCCTCTTTAGATTTCAGCAGTGGCGTGCCGTGACATTTAAAGAAAGGGATACTACAAATTAAATGAAATTATAGGGTGAAATGCAGTAACTGTGGTTTGGGGGAACTGTGGCACCCAATAATGTTTTTTTAATTAACAAGATATTATAAAGTTTACAGTAAATACTTGTTTAATCTCTCTGGTAGTAACTAGTAACAAATTCGTGAGACATCAGCTGCCAAAACAAAAATTCATTTAGAAACTAAAACTCTGACCGTCATTGTAGGTAATAATTTGGTAATTAAGAAGGGGCCCATAGTTAGCCTAGCATGACACGTGATCAGTGGAACTGTGGACGGCTGTGGTTTTCAAAGAACTTTGAGGAAAATAAGATTTCCTTTATTCTAGTACATATACATGAACCGATATAGCGTATTTAACCACACTATATATACTTTTTTATGTAGTCAATTAGGTATATAATTAAAACAAAGTATATAAACAATAAAAAGTTTATTTTGAAGAAAGTCAATATGTATATAATGCAGAGTACTACAAACATACTGTTACAAAAATTATTTACGAGATATAACAAGTACATTCTAAAATAAATAAAAAACAATAAATAATTATCTATACAATATAATAACAAATTAACTGTTATTTCCAAACATATTTTAAGTTTCTCTTATGTCTATTCAGTTAACTAAAAATTTCTTAATTAGTTCACTACTAAAACAATGACTAACAAACTACTTTTTAATTTAGACAACTATTTACAATTAGTACTGACTAATTTGTAGCAATATAAAAATGATGAAGTTCACTAACTGTATTTTCAAAAGTTATCAGTTGGCTTTGTTACATGACGCATGAAAATTTCCAAAGCAAACTAGATTAAGCAGATGATTCAGTTATGGTATGTCTAAAATACCTCATAGAAAAAACTACGAGTTAAATGTTCTAAACGCCTCAACAATTTAAAATCTGCATAATGAATATAACGAGAAAGTTCAAATTGAACTAGTTAAAGTTTATATAATCTAGTAAACAAAATTGTAGGTTGCTAGATATACAAACATAAATCAACTGAGGTTATCACTTAAAATTATTTAAAAAGATCAATTTTACACTAGAGCACCCATGAATTTCTCTCATAAAATTACTCTTGGTGTTAATGGTAGTAGTAGTATGTGATTTCTACACAGTTTTTAATATAAACATATCGAGATAGTACATTGTTTACGGGTAGGAAAAGCTTAACATTCCTGGACGACTGTGAAGATTGCTAAGTCGAGGCGCAAGCCGAGACTTAGCAACACAGAGTCCAGGAATGTGGCTTTTCCTACGAGGTAAACATACTATTTTTCCGCAAATCGTTTAAAATTCGACAGATATTGATTGATTTAAAAAAACGCGATAATTTTATTCCCAAATAAATGGTGCTTTGAAATTCCTAATAAAATTACTTGGGTTACTATGGAAACGTATTGAGGTTGAATTGTCAAACTTGACGCTTATAAATTTAATTGCTGGTTAACAGTAACAACTGTACGGAAATATCATTTCCTTACAGTAAGGAAATGACATTTCCTTACAGTAAGGAAGTCCTGACTTTTTCTTCAAGAAATTTTGACAGGAATGTCAAAATTTCCTGGCGATTTGCGGAAAAAGAGATTTTTTCAGTTCAGTTAAATAGAAACAGTGAAAAAGTACGATCTGATGGTACGAACGTTGGCCCCAACAGCGTTCGTCCATGTGTGTACCGACAAAACTGTGTTGGATCCAATATTGGGGCCAACGTTATGACTTGCTCCCGCGTTGGAAGTTTTCCTTGGAGTGTCGGTTTTTGCGTACACATCAAAGGGATTTGCGCTAATATTGGTGTTACCGTTGATGGCTAAACCCAATGTGTGGATGCCTCACCGAACGTGGGAACACGGTTGACCCAACGTTGGCTCTAACGTTGGCGCCAACCTTGGATCCCATGTATGGAGCCGGCCTAGTGTATAAACAGTATTAAATTGTTATTTATAAACAATTTTTCTTAATACTCTTACTAAATTTAAACAAATCAGTTTTTTTATTAGGTATTAAGAGTTTAGTCTTAAGTATCAAGAATTTAATTCTGAGTATTAAGTTTAAATTTTTTAATATTAAAAAAATATTTTTAGAACAAAAAATCGTAAACACTAGTATCGTAAAAGAAATTATAATTTCTTAAATATCTTATATGTGGTTTAGACACCGTATCGAATTTAAAACGGATCATACAATTTAATATATGTCTGTTGAAATAGTGGACCAATATAAAACTTGGACAAAAATAAATCCATACCTGGCGATAGACATTGTATAAAATATCGTTAAACTACCTGTCTCGCAACAATGTTGTTTGGGTAACAATGTTGCCAATCGCCGTGTAATAATCGATTTGCGGATCTTTTTGAGAGTTATATCTTCTTCGTATCTTTAAATAAATCGGATATTTGCCTATATTTTTCATTGTATCTACCAATCTACTACAACAGACTAATAACAAAAATAAACTTAATGGTTTGTAGTTATTTTATTTCTTTCCTGTAAATATTTTATGGTTAACAACTTATTTGAGAAACATCTAGAGGAATGATTTTGGCAACACCGCTCAAAATATTCATCTATGGGAAGTGATAAGTAGTTTGACAGCATAATAAAATCTTAGATTTATGTGTAGCTTTCAATTTTTATACGTGATGGGCGGGGCAACCTATTTGGGTAGAGTTTTGAATTGTTCTTGAATGATTTCAAAATCCAGCAGCCCGCTGAAGTATTGGATTTTTATAATATAATTATTTGACAACCTTTTGTTGACCAACCACCTAAGACAGGAATTGAGCCAAAATACATAATATTTCGTATGTTCCGAATTTATTTCGTTCAATCTGTATAGCGGCCGCGGAACTCTGCCCGGCATGAAATTGACAATTAAAAACAATGGGTTGATATAAAGTTAATATTAAAAACTCTTCAGGGTTTTATAAAATGGAATTTTAGGTTTAATTTGAAGGTTGCTGAACTTATAATATTAATTTTTCACTGAGTCATTGAGCCTTGAAAATAGCTATTCAAAGGACGTGCTAGTCATTATAGCACAAAAGATTTTATCTACCAGACGAGCTAAATTTGAAAAAATTATTTCTGATGTTTAAAGAGGAATATCCAGATTATTCTATATCCCATGAATGTAAGAAAAAATTTCATGAAAAAATTAAATGTACCTTTTGACTAATTCACGACAGACACATATAGGATCTTTGAAAATGTTTAGCTAGGTTGAGGTGTCTGAAAAAGAACATGGTGGAACCTAGTGAAAGTACAAAAAACATAAAGACTGAAATAAACTGTCTGAAGATAGAAAATAACCTTCATAAGAGACGAACAGCAGAATTTTATTCGAGAAAGCGTAAATCCAGAACAGCAAGCTCAAGGATAAAACGAATTAATCAATCTGTCTGGACTATGATAGGAACTTACCATTCCTAATATAAATACCAATGATGTCTATTATAAACGATAGCTTTCTATGTTTCTCTTCAATGTTCATGTACTTTCAACATCAGAGAGTGGATTTTATGTATACTCAGAAACAGTTGGCAAAAAGGCAATGAGAATGTTATTTACCGTTTTAAACAACTTTCTGTTTATTCCCTGGATAGACAAGCTTGCCGATTGGATATTTGTTGTGACTCCTGCGAGGGAGAAAACAAAAACTATACAATGTTTCGCTTTCTACACAATGTGGTTAATGAACAAAAACAGTGGAATTACATCAAAATTTATTTTCTGTTAGAGACCATTCTTATATGAAGACTGGCATGAATATGGAAAGTTTAAATCGGTACAAGACCATTAACTAGGTTAGAGCCAAGCCAGCACCCTTTAATGTGATAAAGATTAATTCTGAAAATCAAGGAATATTTCGTCAGTGAACCAATCAACTTTCCACAATGTATAGGAAGAAATGCCCTTTTCGATACACGAAATTAAAGAGTTTGTGGTATCAAAGGAGTATCCAAGAATGATTAAGTATAGACAGTTTTACAATGCAACAGGAGAGACTGTTGTAATCAAAGAAAGAAACCGGAGAAGTGGCGGTCTGAAGGAACACGAATTTATTCTTACTGAAATAGGTTATAATGGTAAATTCCACGTGTCATATCTTTAAAACTGCTTTTAATATTTTAATATTTTTTTCAGAACTGATCAACATATCCAAAGAAAAGTATGCCGATTTGCAATGTTGAAAACAATTTTGTGATCGAGCAACTCAACAATGTCTTTCCACCCTTCCTCGCCGACCTATACACTCAACGATTCAACAGGACCATGTTTTTAACTTCCTGAATAGTATATCTATAAAACTCATTATAACTAATAGATTTATCAGGAAATCTAAAAATGTAAAGATAAGTACAAATATAATAATGTGACTTTTAAAATAGAAAGATACAGCTGCTTCAACACAAATTATGGAATGAAGATAAATATCAAATTACCAAACAATAACAAAGCCTTATATTAAATATACCTACCCAATATTTTTAAGAATATCACAAGAAACCAGGCTTAGCTATTAATAAAAATAGCATTATAATGACCATATCAAGACCATCAAAAACTGATCTAGTAATTATATTCATCCAAAATTGGAGGACAAGTACAAACTAAATGTTTATCTCCATAAATATCATCTATTCTAGCTACTGTAGGCCACACTTTAGTTTCTGGTTTAACAAATGGTGCAGGGAACGCAGCCTGTTCTCTGGAGTACGGTCTTTCCCACGAGCTACTTATCACTTGCTCTTGGGTGTGTGGAGCCATTTTAAGAGGGTTAATTCTAGCGTCAGAACGGCCTTCTTCAATGTCCCTTATTTCTTGTCTTATAGAAACTAAAGAATCGCAGAACCTGTCAAGTTCTTGTTTGTCTTCAGACTCGGTTGGTTCTATCATGAGAGTGCCAGCAACAGGCCAGCTCATTGTAGGAGCGTGAAAGCCGTAGTCCATTAATCGTTTTGCTATATCTGCAGCTTCTATCTTAGCCGTTTTCTTAAAATCCCTAGTGTCTATAATAAACTCATGTGCTACCAGATTTGATGTTGAACTTTTAAATAATGTTGTGTAATGAGGTTCTAGTCTTTTCGACATATAATTAGGCATTCAAAATAGCAATTTGTGTAGCTTTTCTTAAACCTTTCGGTCCCATCATTTTTATGTAAGCCCAGGATATGGGTAAAATTGCACTGGATCCATAAGGAGCAGCGCTTACGCTCCTTCAGAAGTACATTGTGGCCAAGAGGTGTAACGACTGCATGACCTGGAAGATAAGGAGCCAAATGGGATTTAACACCAATAGGACCCATTCCAGGACCACCTCCACCATGAGGAATACAGAAAGTTTTGTGTAGATTTAAGTGAGATACGTCACTGCCATAATCACCTGGTCTACAAAGACCTACTTGAGCATTCATATTAGCACCATCTAAATATACTTGTCCACCATTATCATGTATAATTTTGCAAATATCAGCAATAGTCTCCTCAAAAACTCCGTTTGTGGAGGGATACGTGATCATCAAGCAAGACAGGTTATTCCTAAACTTCTCTGCTTTGGCTTTAAGATCGCTTACATCTATAGTACCATCAGCACGTACTTTAATTGGTTCGACTTTCATACCAGCCATTTGAGCACTAGCTGGGTTAGTACCATGAGCGCTGATGGGAATAAGACATACATCACGATGTGTTTCTCCCTTTGCCTCGTGGTAACATTGTATTGCCCTTAAACCAGCATATTCTCCTTGAGCTCCACTATTAGGCTGAAAACTGATCTTGTCATAGCCTGTAATTGTACAAAGATCCTTTTCTAATTCTTCGAATAACTGATGGTAGCCTTGGCATTGTTCTGTAGGTGCAAAGGGATGTATGTCAGTAAAATGTTTGAAAGAACAAGGCATCATTTCTGTTGTCGAGTTTAGTTTCATAGTGCAAGATCCTAAAGGTATCATACTGTGCACTAAAGAAATATCTTTGTTCTCCAGTATCTTCATATATCTAACTATTCTTGTTTCAGAATGGTGTGAGTTGAAAACTGGGTGTGTCAGAAAGGTGATGTTCTTTTATATTCACTTCTATAAATTGCCCTTTCTCGGATCATTGGACTGTTAACAATATTTTCTACTTTCTGTTGACATCCGAAGGTGTAAAATATATCGTTTACATCATCAAAAGTAACAGTTTCATCTAAGGCTACACCAACAGCACCGTCATTGTAATATCTGTAGTTAATCTTCTTTTCCTGAGCTCTCGTCTTGACTTCTTCTGTGTCAAGTTTTGGATATATCTTCAATGTATCGAAGAAAAGTTTGTTTGATAAAGTGTTTCCATCTTGTTGGAGACCATGGTGCAAAACCTGAAAAAAAAATGAGATTTAATCAAGATGAAATCGGTAGTTTATCCGGAGTTTGCTACAATCTAATAGGTACCTGACCTGGAAGGATTCTAATTTATATTTTCTAATCTTGAGCTTACTTTAAAGTCTATGAAATTAGTTATATTCCTTTAATTAAATCCCCAAACAGCAGATACTGCCCTTTTTTATATCGTAGTGACAAGAGACCTAAAGTTTTCATATAATCGCTTGTGATTTTGCTTGACTTATAGAGGTATTTACAGAATGTAAGCCTTTTGTTCTTTGTTAAGGCTGTCATATATTTTGGCTCTATTATTTTAAAATTTAAATTGTAGGTGTTACAAATCATCGTTACCATCTGCACGTCATCATTTGTATAGCATTTTACATTAATATCCAAAGATTTGTTAGGCATTTGAGCACTTTCTTTCATTTTACCCAATATTCAAAACTTGTATTAATATAATATAGCTTAAATTGTGATTTATAAACTTAATAAACTTACCAAAGTCAAATTGTGTATCTTGGTAGCAATATCTTTAAGACCTTGAGGACCGTGATATACAGCAAACATAGCAGACATGTTGGCCAAAAGTGCTTGAGCTGTACAAATGTTACTCGTGGCTTTATCTCTTCTAATATGCTGTTCCCTGGTTTGCAGTGCTAGCCGGTAGCCGTCTCTTCCAGCGGCATCTCGAGTAACTCCTATCATACGACCAGGCATCAATCTAACCAATGATTGGTTACAAGCAAAGAAACCGGCGTGCGGACCGCCATAACCTAGAGGTACTCCTAGTCTTTGGGAAGTACCGACTGCAATATCTACTCCAATTTCGGCTGGTGGGCGAAGAAGTGTAAGACTGAGCAGGTCAGTTGCACAACATACCAAAGTACCTGCAATAATAATTAAACAACGATTGAGAATTATATGATATAATTGTTAAGATCAACATACCGTTGGCATGTGCATTATCAGCTACAGAATCGAAATCTAAAATATTTCCTTCAGTATCAGGATATTGGAAGAGAACCCCTGCAACATCTCTCCCAGAAAAATCAGCTTCAAACACATCAACTACTTCAACACTTAATCCCAACGACTGGCATCGTGTTTGAATTACAGAAATTGTTTGAGTGTGTAACAAGTGGGAGACAAGAAGCTTCTTTCTCTTGTTTTGTCTGTAACATAAAGCTAGAGCTTCAGCTGCAGCAGTACCCTCATCTAACAAGGATGCGTTTGCTACTTCAAGACCGGTTAGTTCGCTGACCATAGTCTGATAATTCAATAACCCTTCGAGTCTACCTTGGGCAACCTGTAAACAAAAGAAGTTAATTTATTGAAAAAATAAATTGATAAAAAGAAATTGCCACCACAATTTTAAGGGATTATTAATTTTTTTTGATATTACAAATACAAATATATCAAATAGCAATAGCTATTAAGCCATTGTTTGCATTTGCTATCCTGAACGTTGAATATCTAACCTATCAACAAAACAATGAAGCCAGACAAAAAAGTATAGCAGAAAAACAAATAATTAGGTTATCTGACATTATTTACTTACTTCTGGTTGATAAGGTGTGTATTGGGTAGTCCATCCTGGATTTTCAAATATATTTCTCATTATTGTGTGAGGTACACAGCAATTGTGATACCCCATACCTATGTAGGAGCGCCATATCTGATTTTTTTCGGCAATTGTGGCGATTCTTTTGATAAGTTCGTATTCACCTACAATAACAGATTATTTATAAATATTTTTTTTATATAGATAAGTAATATTTCTTTAAGTTTTATTAAGTGTATCATCGGGAATAAACAAAAAGTATAGAATAAACTATTGATTTGATGTTTCAGCAAGATCAGCTGGTCGTATGAAGTGCTTATGAGTACCAATGATGTGGAGGTAAGCAAGAATCATTATAAAGATTAACTGAGAAAAGGAAAGGCCTTCGGTACTATTAGCTGTATACCATAATCATAACATAACATAAGTTTTTAGAGCTCCCAAGGTTTTTCATATCTAAATAAATTTTATTTTTATCTATTCTATCGTGTCTGCTTGAAGTCAATAAACGGTGCACGAATGTTCAGGTTGTGTTCATAGTTGCTATGTAGTAATTCCTATAGTGTAAAGATCTGGTCTGTAGTAGATAGATCTCTTACGAAGCCTACCTGGTATTCTTCAATTATGTTCTGCTTATATTTGCTAATCCTTTTTTTAAGAGATTTACCAATATCTTACGAGTAAATACTACATCTGTGAATGCAATTCGTCTGCAGTTAATACAGTTGATCACATCTCTTTATACATAGCCGGATGAATGTTGCTTCCGACCTCTTGGTCAGCATATTTTTCTCCTCTCATATCGTATTTATCAGATTAGATAAAGCTTGTTTAAGTTATGGACATCTCTTTTTTATGAGCTCGTTGGCAATTCCATTTTCACATGTAATCTTGTTATTCGCAATTAATCTGCATCTCTGTATCTGTGGAGTAGAAAGGACAAGTCCAGTTCTACACCAATTGACACATTATGCATTCTCCAAGGGAACTGCTAAGAGGATCTGTTATCCTTAGCTCAATGTCCATCCTGCCATGTCTGGGAAGGTGGACAAGTCACCAGGTGACATCTTCCTTATGTGAGCAGGTGTAAGCCACGGCTCGTCGAACGCGTGCTCTCGTATTAACGATAACTCCGGTCATTCACATAGGACATTCTTTACAGTTTAATCTTCTCGTTCACACTTCCTGCATAGAGGTGTGTCTACTTGCCCCAGTGTATGGAGTTGTTTGCTTAGTTGACAATAACTAGTTAAAAAAACCAACTGACAAGCGTAGGTTTTTCCTGGTCATTCCCAAGTACTTCTTTAGCAGACAAGCCGTTACAGATAGCAGACAAGCCCGTTTAAAATTTTCCCGGCTATACCTTTTGGGTTATCTCTTTTGAGGCTATGGAAATACCAGCCAGTTCTGTCTGAACTACGCTGGCATTTTTGCCTATACCCCACTTTATTCTTAGGTTCAGTGATCTGGAGTATATCCCGCATCTTGATCCTTCTTCTATTTTGGAGCATTCGGTGTATAAACAGTACGCATTTGCGACGTTTAACTCCCTATACTATCTTGTTTCGATTTCGATTTCTATACAGTAGCAGGGGCAACGTATCCAGCTCTCCCTGCCAGAAACGAGTTCTCAATTGTCCCATTCCTACATCGAGGTTTACAGCCTCCTCTTTGACATATATGTCTAGAGGGATGACGCCAATGACCAACTCCATTGCAGCACTTGGGGTTATTTTTACGGCACCTGTTATATTTAGGCAAGCCATCCGCTGAATATGGTTTAGTTTGTTAATCACTGTTGTCTGTAACTCTTTTGGTGCCTAATCAATAGCTCCCTAAGTTAGCATTGGACTAATGACAGCAGTGCAGATCCAGGTGATCACCCAGGGTGAATGGCTCCAGGTGCATCCGACCATTCGTCGACACTACTCATATGCAATAAATGCCCTATTTTGCTCTACCATCTAAGTGGGAGTTTCATGTTAACTTCCTATAAAAAGTAATAATAAGGTATTTCACCTCATCAGAAAAGTTTGGACTGTAGTTTAGAATCCTTGGGAGTATAAATCCGTGATTCTTCTTTTTCTGGTGAAGAGGACTATTTCTATCTTCATAGGATTTATAGATAGTAAGTGTTTCTTGCAGCATGTTTCTATTAGTCGTAAATCAACTTGTAATCTCCCACATAGTGTGTTCTCGAACTTGCAAAGCTTTGCAGGATAGCAATATCGTCTGAGTAGGCTAATGTGTAGAACCCGATGCTGCTGAGTTGGTCAACTAGGGTATCTAAAACTATGTTCCATAAAAGTGGTGATAGCACATCCACCTGTGGACACCTCCTTGTAACCATGCCTCCAACAGAAACGTCTACTCCATTTAGGCTCATTACTCTATTAGAGAGCATACTAAATACCCATTCGACCACGGCCAGGGAAACATTCCTGACATTAAGTTGTTGGGTGATGGTTGGGAATGTGGTTTTATCAAACGCTCCCTCAATATCTATGAGTATATCTAGGGTGGATTTTTTAATATCCAGCGATCTTTTAATTCTTCCTACTACTTGATACAGTGCATATTCGGTAGATCTTCCAGAATTATATGCATGCGGATTAGGGAGAAGTGGGTTATGAACCATAACTTCATCCCTTATATACCTCTTGCGTAGCTTTTCCATCGTTTTCAGAAGAAAAGATGTTAGGCTAATTGGTCGAAAAGCCTTTGGTACGGTGTAGTCGATTCTACCCTAAGATCACACGTCCTCTTTCCACTTCCTAGGAATATATCTTAGAGCCAAGGAGGCTCCGAGTATTCTAACAAGGTGCGGCATTCATTCCTCTTCCTCTTCGTAGTAGGGCTGGATATAAACCGTCAGTCTCTGGTGATTTAAAAGAGGTGAAGCACAATATTACCCATCTTATATTTGTCTGACTAATTATTCTTCTGGCGAGATACCATTAGTTTTGTGAAAGTATGATAGTTTCTTCCTTCCAGTTTAGTTCTGTTCAGGTGCTAGAATCGAGGAAGTGTATTTTTATCAGGATCTCAGCACTTTCACAAAGGTTGGAAGTTATGCTTCCATCTTCCTTAGACATATTTTCCCCTTATATTGTCATCATGAGATCAGGTAAAACTTCTTTAAGTTATGGACGTCCCCCTTTTATGAGCTCATTGGCATTTCCATTTTCACGTGTACTCTTGTTATTCTTAACATATTTAATACATTTTGTTTCGTTTGTTTCGTTTTTTTCCCATGTTATAAAAGCCTTCAATTTATATTTTATTATGATTAAATAATTCAACTGATTAAATAATTTGAATACGTTTTATAAAATTTACGTTCTTAATACAACTCAAAATAGTATTTATTAAACCACATGTTCGTCATTTAACAAATTACGATAAATAATCTTCTCTCGTACATTTAAAAATAAGTTGTTATTCGTTTAGACCCCCTGTGAACAAATCAGAATAGTGTTATCACTATGACCTTTCACAGACATTAATAATATAACTAATATAACAACAGATAACATCTTTTGCTTTATCTTAAATAAACTAGTTGCTATTTGCATATAAAGATACAATTGGCTTGAGTCTACAAAATAAAATTTCTGATACTATATTTTGATTAAAATTGGCCGAAAATTAATTGTTTTAAAAAGAAATATTGTATTTAACCACTACCATTCTTTCTCAGATATCTGGACGATGTGTAGGTCGATTTAAGGGAGATTGAACTAAGCGGATGGAGAAAACAGACACTCGACAGGAAAGGATGGAAGAATATTTTGAGGCAGGCCAGGGCTCACGAATGGCTGTAGCGCTAATTGATGATAATGTCTAATTTTTTATAACTAATAAACAGATCATGTCTTTTTGTCATGTCTTTTACTTCTTACTTTACTCAGCACCGAGCTCTTCTTCGCATTGTTTGAATCCGATTCTTCTTTAGGTTCCATCTTTTCGATGGAAATTTAAAGATCAATATGGCGATCATTTTATTTGCATTTACTCTAAATAGTTAGACTGCATAAACAAACCAATCTCATGTTTTTCAACCAAGAAGTTCTTCTTTAATGATGTTGTCATCTGCAGATCGTGTGTTTTTTTTTAATTTGACCATTAATTGTAATACACTCTTTTTGAGCATTTTCAAAAGAACAAAAGAAAGAATTGTTGACCACGTTTGCTTCAATTAAAAAAAAAAGATAATGATGATTTGCTGGCATCTTGTAATATCTCACTACTCATAGCAAAATCAAGAAAACGTAATATAATATAAAAACTGATGGAAGATTTTGCAAGCTATTGGGCGGTAGTCGGGAAGTGTTAAAATCTATTCTATACCAGTCTGCACATGACATACTCAAAATAATTACATTGAGCAACAACACAGTTCAAAGACGTATTGATAAAATGCAACATTTCTCAATGGACTACCTAAGCCCTGATGTCAAAATGGGTGGGGGTTTTAAAAACCTTTCCAAAAATTTCTAATGTGTGTGTATCTGCCCCATAAGAAGTTGTAAATATTGTTTTTTTTTTTAATTGTTTGAAGAGTAAATACGGACTTTTGGTTATGAACATAAACATTCATTCTATCCGGTTGGTACTATTTCTTGTTCGTGAATTTGGGAGGTAAGAATTTCAAAATATTAAGATATTTACTATAAAACTTCATAGTTTAAGGTTACGTTATTTTTTGATTACAACTTTTTTATTTTTTTACTGTATTTTAAGGTATTTTGTTGTTGTTTTTATCAGGGTTATTTTAAAATTAATCAATAAATCATTGAATTTATTTACAATGTTAAAAAATATTTAAATTAATTTTATTGTTGAAGTGCGAGTGATTTTATCCCCTAAAAGACTAAATATATTCGTTTTCTTGTAGTTTAAATAGGTAATAGTAGTTTTGTTGTCAACACTGAAAAATTCAGTAAGACTGGATATCTCCAACACATGTTTACTAGCCATTATATGCCCATGTCTGAAAAATAAACTCAAAAACCATTACAACATTCAAAAACAATTTTTTAAACACTCATTATGGAAATTTGATAGAAAGGTTTCCACAGAATGTTGTATTACAACTTAAGAAAACTAATATCTTTTGTCTTTTAGAGAATAAAATCTCTGGCAACGAAAAAAGAATAAAACATTAATTGAAATATTTTTCAACTTCCTAAATAAACTCAATAATTTATTGATATATTTTGAAATAACCCTGATAAAAGCAACAGCAAACTTCTTGAAATCAATTGAAATACAATGAAATAAAAAAAAACATTAAAGTTTTAAACAAACAATAGCATAACCTTAAAATATGAACAATAATAGTAAATGTCTTAATATTTTTTATATTTTTACCTCACAAATTCACGAACAACAAATAATATCAATCGCATAGAATGAATGTGCATAACCAAATGTCCTTATTAAATTTATTCTTCAAACGATTAAAAAATCAATATTTCCAACTTTTTATGGGGCAAAAATACACACTAATTAGAAATATTTAGAAAGGTTTTTAAAATCTCCGCCCATTGTGACGTCAGACTTAGATAGTCCATTCACTTGGATGAGTCAACGTTACCTTGTAATGAAGCACTCTTATATGGCATATATGTTCTTTTGGTAAAGAGGTTCTGAAACTGTTGTCTTGTGGAATGTTTAAATTAAATATTATATCCATACAGGATTAAACAACATTTGATTGTAATAAAAATTACAATTTATTTATTTTGACGTATCGACTAATCTGGAAATCGTTTTCAAAAAAGATTCAGACGGATGTCAAAAATCAAAATTTTCAGAAACCAAAAAAAATTAAAATGAGACAAAAATTTAAAAAATCAAAATAATGAGGAATTTTTACAACGAATAGAGTTATAGATTTAAAGTGCCCTTCCTAGAGAATTTACTAACAAACGAAACAGGCAACGGGTAAAGGTACGTTACACAAGGGGGAAAACAATAAGAAGAACAACAGTACTTCAGCTTTTTTCATACAATTTCATACTTTCCCATTTTGTATATACATGTATATCTATCTATATTTCCATATCTTTTTACCAAAAAGACTCCTAAACATTTAGGATCATTTTTTTTTTTTTATTTAATTGAGACTCTAAAATTGTAAATATGGAGACATATATCTGTACTAAATTTAAACAGACGAGCAATACATTGATTTTTAAATTTTGTAATTATATGCATGGACTTACTAATCGGGGGCTCAATGTCTAATCTTCCTTCCAATCTAATTTTTTTAGGAACAGCTTTTTCGGTCAATTCATCTAAACTCTGAAACAAAAAAAATGTCAATATAATACACACTTTAGCAAAATTTATGTTAATTGGACTAACGATGGCTAAACTACTTAAAGAAAAGGACCTGTAATTGATAACTCGAAAACTACTATAAGCAGTAGCACTAAATATGACAGTCGCTAGCACATATTTTGAACACAAGAACAAACACAAGGTAACCTAGACCTCTCCTGATAGAAGAAAAACGAATCAGATTGATCACTTAATAGATTTAAGGCATAGAACAGACGTGATAAACTGCAGAAGTTATAGAGGCGCAAACATAGACTCAGATCATTGTCTAGTGATCTCAACCTCAACATTGAGAGCTAGAATTTCAAACACCAGTAAAGAAAATAAAATGAATAGAAAAAATGGAATGTGTAAAAGCTGAGAGATGCGACAATTGCAGAACGGTACTTGGAAAACATCATCAACAGGCTAAGGAATTAAAATGTAAATGAAGAAGGCCAGACAGATACATACGCCTACAGAATAAAGGAAGACATTGAAGCACCAGCGAAAGATGAAATGATAACAGAAATTTGTGCCGGTAATCATTTGGTTTGACGATGAATACAAGAATGCAACAAAAGAAAAAAATGAAGAATACAGAAAGATGTTTACCCGACGAACTAGAACAACTGTAGGAAATAACCAGGCAAAGATGAGAGAAGAAAAGAGGATACACAAAAGAAAAAAAATCTCAACAGAGAGAAAGAATTCAGAGCATTCTATGTGAAAGTTAACATCAACAGAAAAGAATTCAAGGCAGCCACAAGACAATGCAGAAATTAGAATGAGACCTATTAACAACAAGGAAAGATGTATTGAATGGATGCATAGAATATTTTAAGCAGGCACTTAATATAGAGAAAGACGAAGGACACCTGGAAGACGAAAGAGGTAAGGGGAATAGACGAAAGGGAAAAGGAACCACCAACGAGTCTTGAAGTTAAAGATTTAGTTAAAAAACTAGCCAGAAACAAATCACCCGGAATAGATAATCTGCCAGCTATATAAATAAGGTGGCCACAATACCATAATGGCATTATAGCAGTTTATAGTAGAAATATGGACTTTGCACCATACACAAAAGGAGATATCTTTGAATCCTCTTACCACAAAGGAATTACGCTTCTAAATACAGCATATAAAATATTTTCCACAGTACTTTATTATGTCACCGTATGGCACCATATGCTGAATGGATAGTAGAAAAATACTAGGTGGGTAAATTAACAATTCATCAGATTGCAACCCTGAAACAAATTTTAGCAAAAACACTGGAATATGGCGTTGATACTCATACATAGTTATAGACTACAAAGCAACGAACGACTCAGTGAATAGAAGAAATATGATCAAAGCAATGAAAGAGCTAGAATACCAAATCAGTTGGTAAATTTAACAAAACTAACTCTTAAAAAAGGTGAATGTAGAGTACGAATTCAGGGTGAACTGTCCGAACCTTTTAAAACAAATAACAGGCTGCGTGAGAAGACCCTCTCTCCTGTATACTGTTCAATCTGGCTCTGGAAAAAGTAAGGCGTGTGTCACATGTCACAACTAATGGTTCAATATATAATAAATCAGTGCAAAACCTTGCTTATGATGATGATATCAATATTGTTGGGAGAACGGAAAACGCTATAAGAGAAGCGTATGTAGCATTAAAAGAATCAGCTACAAAATGGGTTTAATAATAAACACCAACAAAACGAAGTATATGAAAATAAGCATGCAACCACAAATCCTGCAACCACTTGATATAGAAAACGACGTCATCGAAGCAGTGAACGAATTTGTATACCTGGGAGCGCTATCAGTACAGAGCCATAACCTCTTTTGGTATGTAGGCCGGGCGATGCCCGGTTGGGTGGCTACAATCATCATGTAACCAAACCCCCGTCATCCGAAAACCAGCCTCGTCCTGCTGGTCTGTTCCTCCCCGTTCCGATCCGGGGAGTAACAGACAGCAGCGTATGGCCCTATTTTTGTCCGTTCTTTGACCAGGTTTAATCGAGTTGACCGCCATCCCCCCCTGCAGCCAAGACCAACGCCAACACGGAATATCGTGGGCAAAGAAAAATTAGCTAAAGGCTAAAAAATGTAATAATAAAAAATATAATAAAAATAAGTGAATGTATAGACATTTTAAAATAAGTAAAGAGGACATTCACAAACATATAGGACAACACAACATCTCGTCTATTCGATTAAAATCCTAAACTAGACGAGCGTAGGTCCCACGATAGGAAGAAGCCGGAGTTTAAACACTCGAAGAATAATGCTCATAAGTCATTCATGCTAGGACCTCATGAAATGACTATGAATATGAAGGCTGCCCATAATTGCCTTAGTGATAAAATTGCGGACGTCGAACCTTGAAAGGTTAAAAATTCTCATGACACGAGAATTCGACTGACACCATGTTCCGCGAGCACCTACGATTAGAGGTGCCATGCAAATTTGTTTCCCTGGATATCGGGACTGCATGGTCTGAACGAATCGAGGCTCAGTGTATAGCGCTGTTTTATTAGCAGCAGCTGTACTAAGGGGTTCAGGACCCTCCCAGCTGACGGCAACATCTACGACAATTACCTGCCCATCCAGCTGGGCGACAAGGTCAGGTATCTTCATAGTCCCGTCCGTGCATCTTATTCGGGGCTCGACCTCGCATGTCCACCCTTTCTTTTTGGCTGCTTTTCGTAAACACTGAAAATAATACTTAAATCCACAATTATATCGAAAAATACAAAAATAAAACTATACAAAACAATAATATGCCCAGTGGCCTTATGGCCATATGGTAGTATGCCAAAGGAAAATGCAAGCAAGGGACAGAACAGAATGGCGTAGAAAGCTTGAGAAGGTCGAGGCTCTCTAAGGGCTGTAGCACCAAGATAATGATGATGAATATGCCCAGTAGTAACATATGGTTCAGAGACCTGGACTCTAACAAAAAGTAATAAAAACATATTAGGATGTTTCGAAAGACAAGTACAAAGGCGAATCTATGGAGCAGTGAATGACAATGTAGTGTGGAGAAGACAATACAACTTCGAACTTTATAGAGATACATACATATTAAGATAGGACGTCTGAGGTGGACAGAGCATGTAATGCGGATGGAACAAAATGACCCAGCTAGAAAAATGTTCTTTGATATACCTTTATAAAGATACATACATATTAAGATAGGACGTCTGAGGTGGATAGGGCATGTAATGCGGATGGAACAAAATGACCCAGCTATAAAAATGTTCTTTGATATACCCATTGGTCACAGAAGAAGAACCAGAACAAGGTTCCTTGATAACATCGATGAAGAGTTCAAAAATATAGGAATACGAGCTTGGCGTTATTCCAAGTGTAGTACCCAAACGTGGTGGTTTGACGGTTGAAAAAATATCTAACTTAAGAGGGCAAATAAAATTGGTCCACCCCAACTACAACGAGGCTTAAAATAAATTTAGAATAAAATGTTGAAAATCCTAAGCAGAAAAAGAGAAGAACTCATTAGCGTATTGTTTTTTTTTTTAACTTGATTAAGTTTAAACAAAAAAAATATTAAATTTTCTTCATTGTATGCAAAGTTTAGTTTCACAAATTCTTGCTTTCTCTTTAATATTTAATATTTTAATTCATCATCATCTTTGGCTCTACAACCCTGGGTGGATCTTGGCCTGTTCAAGAATAAGTCTCCATTCCCCCTATCTTTCTCCCGGCTTTCCAATTTCTGGCCCTAGATTCCTGAAGTCATCTTCGACTTGAGTTTTGAATCTAGATCTTGGCCTGCCTCTCTTCCTGGTTCCTACTGGCTCTTGATAGAATATCTGTCTTTGGGGGTCTCCAGTGTCCATTCTTTCAAGGTGTTCTAGGCAGCTTAGTCTGTTAATTTTAATAGACCGGACGATGTTGCATTTTTTATAGCATTGATACAACTCAAAATTGTAGCTCCTGCGCCATATCCCGCTTTCTTGTACTCCTCCGGATATGTGTCTAAGTATTCGTCTTTCAAAGCGGCCTAACAGTTCTTCGTCGCTTTTTACCATAGTCCATGTCTCTGACGCGTATGTCAGGACTGGCTTAATAAGAGTTTCATATATTAGTATCTTGGTTTTTTTGTTTATTATGTGTGATGTTAAGAACTGCTTTAGTCCAAAGTAAGCTGTGTTCGCCAGGTATATTCTTTTCTTAATTTCTACGCTTACTAGGTTGCTGTTATTTAATTGTGTTCCAAGATATATAAACTCGAAGACTGTTTTCAATGTTTCAAAAGCCTGTGTCAGGTCTTGTTTTGTCCGTGTTAGTATGTCAATGTCATCTGCGTAGGCCAATATCTGTACACTTCTATTGATGTTGGTCCCTCTGGTTGTTATGCCCGATTTCTCCATGGCTCTTTCTATTATATTTTTAATATATAATAATTCTTCCTCTGTAATATTTTAATTAACGAAAGAAAATAGTCTAATATTATTTTCTTGACGTCTCACTCATTGCAATTAGAAATAAGACAAAATAGTTCCAATACAAAACGCGTTTTGTTAATTTACTCAAAACATTGAAAATGCGATATGGCACCTTTATCCACTTATGTCGTCAAATAATACTTAGTATAGCTTTTATATTAGATAAAAAAATAATATTTTAGTGATTTTTTTAAAATATTCTAAGGTGAATTTTGGTGCAGAATTTTAACATGCTTACCTTGAAACCCAACGTATCCAGCATAGTACTGACATCACTCTCCCTGGGTCCGATATGTCTGGCAGGAAAATCATCGTTCCTTGGAAACAAAGGGCCTTCTGGTCGAGGAGGTCCAGCACTAATATACCTTACATTTTTTAAACTATTCCATTTGGGAAAAATACCACTACGAGCTACGATTTTATACATCCTCGAACTTAGTGTCTTGTTAATAGTAATAGAAATAAATCATTTACAAGACGCCTTGGATTATAAGAAAGCAGTTGGGGTTATAGGTCATATACGCTTTAAGAAGTTGAGATAAAAATATTTTTAAAGTAAATACGCTTTCTCAATTGTTGATAATGTTTGCCAAAGTTTTATTCAGTGATTACGTGAAAGTAAAGAAATAGATAATTATTTTTGTACGTATCCTGCAGGGGTCTGTTTTTATTTTTAATCTTAAATAATAAAGATATATTATGTATTAATGATAAATATGTGACATTTTGACTTTCAAAATAATAAAGCATTTTAACAAATACAACACCAAAATGGAGAAAAATTCATCTGATTAAAAAGCACTCAAAACTAGATACTTTTAAATCTTTTTAATGTATATTTTGCGTTATATGTATATCTGTATATGTACACATATGGTTCTGAATTAAAAAACATTCAATGGGATCCTATAACATAAATGGATTATCAGAAAAATTTACAAGGTAATGAAGAAGATTTAAAGTGTTATGGATGTCCCTGTTCCTCAACACAAGACGAAAACAAAAAATCTAAGTGTTTGATTATGAAAGACTCTAATTAATCTTCATCGGTGCAAGGTACTATTCGATGTTGAAAAAATATTTTAGAATGCAAGATCAAGTATTTAATTCTTCGATTTGTGAATTTACTTGGCAAGACTTGTTTGTGTTGACATTTATTTTCCAGCATTTAAGCCAGTCTTCTAGTTCATTGAGATGCTTTTACAATTTGTTAAATGCTAATATTTTATTGATATCTGATGCTAGTATACCAGTGTCATTCGCAAATGTTGCCATTAGTGTATTTTCGCAAATATCAATATCAGCAGTGAAGTTTTAGTAAAGGAATGGGCCAAGTACACTACCTTGAGGTACTGCGGATTTTATTTGGTGGTAGTTGGATAGAGCACCTTCGTATTTAACTTGGAAGTTCCTGTCGAGGAAGGAGAAGGAAGAGGTAGATTTGGTCAGTCAGCTCAGTTTTATTTTAAAGAGAAGACCCTCGTGCCACACTCTATCAAATGCTTGCTGTATATCAAGGAATGCTGATAGACAGATTTGTTTCCCTTCTGGCTCTCTTTGATTTTGTTGACTAATCTATGGCACTGTTGTATGGTCGAGTGTTTGAGCGAAAACCAAACTGATGATCTGGAATAAGGTTTTCTATAGGTATTATTGTTTCTATTCTGTTAAGGATTAACCTTTCGAAGACTTTTAATAAAGCGGAAGGAGACTTATTGGTCTGTACGAACTGTCTTCAGTTAGAGGTTTACCAGGTTTAGGTATTGTTATAATTTGCCTACTTCCATTGCACTGGAAAAAAGCATAGTCTCAGGAGACTATTAAAAATAATGGTTATTAAGAAGACACCTTTTCTTGGGAGTTTTTTTTAAGATTTCGCCAGTTATAGGGTCAAATCCTGGAGCTTTATGAGGGTTAAGCACGTTAATTTCGTTACGACCTTCGTTTGGTAAGAAGTATTTTAGTGGTAATGATAGTTGACAGGATGCATTAAGGAAGTCTCTAATTTTCTCGTCGTTAATATCGTTGGCCTGTGGGGTGGAGAAGACGGTTGATAGATGTTCTGCAAATCTGTTGGATTTTTCTATATCTGATTGAGCCCAGGTTCCATCATTTTTCCTGTGATTTCATTACTACCGGCTTTTTAAATTTCTTTGTTGCTTTCCAAAGAGAGTTGCCGTCAAGAGAAAGGTTTGTGACATATCTTTCAAAGGATGCGTTTTTGGCTATTTGGATAGCGGATTGAAGTCTGTGTGTGAGCCTGTTTAGGTTTGTTTTATCTAACACGTTTCTTGTTCTTTGTTTTGCGACGGACTCTTCTCTCTTCTACTAGTGTTCTAATGTGGAGGGGTATACTATACCTTTCATCAATGGTTTTTTCCTTTACAGGAGTAGCTTTCCAAGCGGCCTGTTGTATTTGTTCCGTTAGATATTTTACAGCTTCTTCAATATCGTTTTTGTGTTTGAGTCGAATGTCAAGAGATATTTTTCATTGATTTCTTCTTTGAATTGAACCCAATTCGTGTTACTGGAACATAGCCTTGGACTATGGACTAAGCAAAGTCTAAGAGATCAGGAATTTTGTTGTTATCAGCGGGCCAGTATGTAGGGGTACCAGTTGTTAGCTATTTCAGATTATTATCTTGTATGATCTTTAATAGATTTCTGCCTTTTGGAGATATCAGTCTTAGATTGTATGTTTTGCATTCCAGTCCCTGTCACTAGGAAATGTGAGCCAAATTTTTCAAAAAACTTTCTGTATTCCTACAGATTGATGGCGTGGTGTAAAGATGGGCGTTATATAACGTATTCGGACAAATAACACTATTACCAATAAGTATTCGTTTTCTCAATAATAGGTTACAGCAAACTGCCTATTACTTTTGTCACAGTGTGATTAACGTTGGTATTCGAATGGACATTCGATATGTTGACGTGTTATTATCGAACGATGAGATCGTTCGTTCAATCGGTAACAGAATAGGAATGGTCATTGTCACCGAATTTATGATGAGCTTTGTGTTTTGGCACTTAAATAGTGGTAATACCACCGTAAGCAAGTACGATTATTAAGACGGAGACTATGTTTATATGATTTATAATATAGTATATTATAGTATAGTAGTTGAATCATATATTTTTAAGCACCATCAAATATACCCAGAATGTTTATCACTCACGGTTGAAAACAAAAATAAACTATAAACAGTAGAAAGTATTCGTTTATTGAAAAATATATTATGAATACGACAAGAAACTATAGCGGAATGGAGCTGCTTACAGCTTGGGTAATAGGCGACAAAAGTAATAGGTTCTTCTTCTTCTCGTGCCACTCCTAGCGGAGATTGGAAATCATCATGGCCACTGGCGACTTTGTTAGCAGCGCGCCTAAAAAGTTCAATCGAACTACACCCGAACCATTCACGTAGATTACGAAGCCACGATATTTTTCTTCTTCCCACACTTCTTTTGTCCTTAATTTTGCCCTGCATGATGTTTCTTAAAAGTTCGTACTTTTCACCTCTCACAATGTGCCCCATGTATTCCATCTTTCTAGTTTTTATCTCATTTAGAATTTCGCATCTTTTGTCTAAAGTTTGGAGTACTTGCGTGTTAGTGACGCGGTCCATCCATGATATTCTGAGAATGCGCTTATAGCACCACATCTCGAAAGCTTCGATGTTTTTTATGGTCAACTGTTTTAGTGTCCAAGCCTCAACTCCATATAACAGGGTAGAAAAGACATACACACCGCAGCATTCGTATTCGTAACTTTATATTGATATCACGATTGCAAAAGAGTTTGCGCATTCTATTAAAGACTGATCTAGCGATTTCTATTCGATTAGGTTACCGGAACCTATTACCTGTCTGTCACCGGAACGATGGAACCTATTACTACAAAGTAACTGTATTTTCCATGGCTAGCGTGGTGGGATGTAGATAGAAGCTATTGTTTAATGGGAAGGCGAGCGCATGTACTTTTATGATAGTACTCTGAATTTTGTTGGTGATATATGGAGAAAGTTCGTAGTGTTTTATAGCTGTACGAATTATTACAACTGAACCAGCATGGGCTGTTCCATCTGGATGGTTTACGTAATAGACAGAGTAGTGTGGAATTTTTATAAAAGGACCTCTCAGTTGTGTAACTCTCAGATATAAGTAGGATGTCTATTTTGTTTAATTTTAGAAATATAGATAATTTCTTGCACATGGTTTGTTAGACTATTTGCGTTCCACTCTGCTATTCTAAGTGAGTTAGCCCATTACGACGTTCTATTTATCACTGTTGTAAGCATGCTTAGTATCATGCTGTTTTGGTTTATCAATTGTGCAAAAATATTTTTAAATCGTTGAGAAATTCTGTAAGTTTTATTTGAAATGTCTGGATTATTGTTATTGTCTTGTGAAGAAGTATTAGTTGCTGCAACTTGGCATATGTTACATGTGACTGGCTTATGTGGTGAGTATTAATGTTATTTTTATATTAGGCTTGCAACTCTAGATATAGGAATGCTGCTTGTTATATTTTTGTTTTTCTAATGTACTAGGTCTTTATATATAGCACATCCTTTATAGTTTGCTGGATGATTGTCATTACATAAGGCACATGTTGCTGGTGTGTCGCGTGCTTTTTGCAGGTTTTTGTGTCATGTGATCCACCGCATTGAACACAGGCGAATGGCCTCAGGCAGTAACTTTTTGAGTGCCCGTATTTTTGACACCTTGTGCATTGTACTATTGTATATTTTTATTCTAGGTGATTCTACTGTTATTATGCAGTTTCGTAGGACTTGCAAGTTAAATATGTTTTTGTTATTTTCATTTGGCTCTATATCGACAAAGAATAAGGTCAATGGTTCTTTGGTAACTCTATGTTACATTAATTATGTTGCGAACTTTAAAACCCTTATTATTTAATTAATGCGAGTTTGGGTTGGTATGGTGTGATGTACAATGTTTTCTTTTCTAAGGTGCTGTATGAGTGTCCTGTATGTGTCTAAGTTTGTAGGGTTAATTTTTACTGTATTGAAACGGTTTTGGTGTGATAGGTTTCTGCCGCAGTTGCAAGGTTTGCTATCATAGCACTATAGTCAGTAACTCCATAAATATAGATTGGTAGCGGTGAGGGATCTTTTTGGTTATATTTGTGTTTTGAGTATTTGATAAATTGTCTATTTGTTCATCTAGATTTTATTTTTGATAGGGAATCAAATCTGTTTTATGTTTGGATGTGGTTGGGAATTTTTTAAATTGTTTGTCTTTTCACCCTTTTTCTCTTATTGCCAAAGATGTTTATTTTCGTTTTCTGTTTCGTTAAGTTCTATGTCGCTATCGCTATCCGTGTAGTTATTGGTGTTTTGTGATGAGAGCATTGAGGTTTTATGGATACTATTGTGTATTTTGACTGAATAGGGTTTTGAG